GGAATGCCTCCCAGTCCATCCCAGTCTGAGACTGGCTGGCGGGAAGTCCCCAGGAACCCTGGCACCTGGCCTCCCCCCTGCTCTGCCTCCCATGCCAGGAAAGTGCAGCCGAGTCGCACCTCTTCACTTGGCAAGGTCTCTCCTCCCATTTTACTTGCTTAGCATTGATGACAAGGAAGGTGGGGTGGGCTCTAAGAGATTCAGTGGGTGCATTGAAAATTCAGGATGGGGTGTCATCCCTTATGCCCCGTACTAGCTATGACTCTGTTCCCTGGGTTTTCTCCAATCTTTTCAAAGCCTGCCTTGCTAAAGCCTGGGTGGGCAAGTTTGGATTTTTCCAGCCCTGTCCACACAGCAGCAGTTTCCCCCTACTCTGCCCCCATGAGAGCCATTTCCTCCCTCCATCGCCGGGCTTTTCCTTTTCCTTTTAATCAGCAATGAATATTGTAATGATCCATATATCAAATGCTCAGAATCCCCAAATTTAATTTATTTTTTAAAATATGTCTCTAGCCCCTTTTGTTGCAGAGATATAAATAGAAAGATGTATCTCCACAAAGGGCTAGATACTTTTAAAAAAATAAATACTGGGAATTCAGAGAACCTGATACACAGAGTGAGCTCGGCAATTTTATACTAGAGCCCATCTCTGGTATCTTCAGCGCTATATGAACCAGAGGGGGAGGGGGGTACTATATTGGACTCCTGGTTTATCATAGTAGGAAGTACTATAATTTAGGTTGCCAGCCTGACGCTAGCAACCAACAGGAGATTTATGTTATGATTGGGGCTTTGCCAATGATACATCATGGCATCAGTGAAACATCAGTCAACCCCCATTTTCCCCAGAATATTTCCCCCACTGCCCAGCCAAGCAATGCCAGGCAAAGCCAGCAGGTTATGTCTAGTGGTGTGCATTCAACTAAATCTGAGCAAAAAAAAAAATCTGAAAAATACCAATATTGTTTCAGCCAGATACAGACTGGGGTATTGTTTGGCGAAGCCCCAGAAATCCTGAAAATATTTGTGATTTTCAGGGCCTCCGGATAGTCGAAGGGCATTTTTTTTACTCCAAAGACATTTAAAGGGCTCTGAAGGTGTTTAAAAGCTCACAGTCCTTTTAAACACCTTCCAGGTGAACTCACCATTTCGAGGTGTTTAAAGGGACTTCAAGCCCTTTAAACACCTTTGGAACACTGACTACGGAGTCACATGGTTTGGAGAAGGCATTTAAAGGGACCACAAGCAATGCTTCCTCTAAGCTGTGAAGTCTTGTTAGCAAAAATTCTACTTTGTGAGGTACCGGCATTAAAGTTGTGAGCGGGCGATTTGGCTACTGCATAAATTAGTGTGCTCTGGAGACATCCTTCCTCAGCTAAGACAAAAATGTGTGAGCTGGAGGCTAGAAAACTGTAAGTTGGCTCATACCAACTCAGCTTAGAGGGAACACTGACCACAAGCCCTTTAAATGCCTTTTTCCCTCCTTTGAAAGCAATGGAAGATGGGGCACCTGCTCTGGGGGCCCATAGAATTGGACCTGGTCCAATCTTTTTGAGACTTGGGGGGTTTTTTTGAGGAGAGGCACCAGCAGCTGTGCTGCAAATTTGATGCCTCTACCTCAAAAAACAGCCCCCAATGCCCCAGATACCTCCAGATTGATTCTCCATTATACCCTATGGGGACCATTGACTATAATGGTCCCCTTAAGGTATAATGGAGCAAAAAAAAAAATTTCCTAATATTTCCCAAATCCAAATACCATACTGGTGTGGTATTTAATATACAGAAACCTGAAAAATACTGGGTTTGGGGTTTTTTTGTATGTCCCTAGTTATCTCCTAAGCTGGAATTCAGCTTCTTGGCTAGAGCAGTTCCAATATCAGTTAAACTGGTCTCTTGCTAGCAGCTAGTTGAGTTCAAGGTTTCCTCCTGCTGTACTTTTGTGGTTACAGTGAGGTTGGTTATGAGCCTTCTTTGTGGCCTCATCTTCATGATACTTAAATGCCCTTATAAATTCAATCATTAACTTTTAAAAAGCTATGAAATATGAATCTCTCTCTTTCATATCTAGCCTAATATTGACTATTCTGATTGGCATCAGCTCTCCAAAATGGCCTCTAACTGGCATCAGCTCTCCAATATACTGGTATTTTCTAGTTCTTCTATGAGATTCTTTTAGAACTGGAGATACCTAGGAGTATCTCCATGTTGGTCATGTACTCCATCTTTGAGCTATGAACTCCACCCAGGTTTTCAATTCAGTCTTGCTTTTTTCTTTTCTCCTATCTATGTCCTCTGGCGACCAGATATGAATATTCTTTATGAAGGTATTTTTGCCATCTTAGCTAAAAGCAGTGTACAAAATGCAACATTTTTAGAATTACATCTATCTATATAAAAGAAAGTCCTCTCACCATAAAATCAAAACCCAGGCCAAACCCCTGGACCTAGAAACACAAAATTCGGGGAGAGCACTCCTACCATGACATAGATGCTCACTAAGAAGGGATGTTTAGAAATTGGACCCCTAAGGGGGCCAAAAGGGGTAAAATGTGCTCCCCCATTGCTTCCTATGTGGCTGCCAGGCTGCTGCCTCCTTGCAACCCCCCCACTCTCTGATTGGTCAGCTGTAGATTCTCAGTGTTTTGAGGTAAAAAAAAACAGTTACAGGAGACTGCAGAGAGCTAATGACAGTTGAGGAAATCAGGAATGGCCAACAACCACCTGTGAGGTGAAGCAATGCTGCTGGCCCAGCCTCGACAATGGCTTCAGACACACTCCCCCCACCTCCTACACCTGACAGGTGGCTGTCTATCAGGTGCAACAGTGGGTGTAGGAGGCTTAAATCCATCAGGGAGCTTGCCCCAGCAGTAACACCTTAGCAGTCCTGCCGACCCAGCCTCCATAATGGCTTGCAATACCCCTCCCCCTCCTACTCCTACACTGGAAAGGCAGATCCCTGTCAGGTGTAGGAGAGGGGGGTGGGATGCTTACAGCCATTAAGGAGGCTTGCTCAGCAGGATCGCCTTAGTGCTGCTTCTGGCCCAACCTCCCTGATGCCTTTTAAACACACTCCCCCCTAACACCAGACAGATGGGTGTCTGTCAGGTGTAGGAGCAGGGCCATCAAGGAGGCCACCCAAGCAGAAAAACCTTAGCAGTGCTGCTGGGCCAGCCTCCCCAATGACTTTAGACACACTCCCACACACCCCTCCTCCACCTGACTGGCAGTTGTCTGTCAGGTGCAAGAGCAGGGGCAGAGCATTGAAAGCCATCGAGGAGGCTGCCCAAGCAGCATTGCCTTAGCAGTCCTGCTGGCACAGCCTCCCCAATGCCTTCAGACATGCTATCCCTCCTACACCTGACTAACAACCAACTGTCAAGGGTTGGAAGGGGCATGGAGTCCTTAAAGCTGTCAGGGAGGCTTGCTCAGCGGGATTACCTTAGTGCTGCTGCTGGCCCAGCCTCCCTGATGCCTTTAAACACAATCCCCTCCTTACACCAGACAGGTGGGTGTTTGTCAGATTTAGGAGTAGGGCCAGGGAGGCCACCCCAGTACGATCCATCAGGGAGGCCACCCCAGTACGATCACCTTAGCGATGCTGCTGGCACAGCTGCCCCAGTGGCTTTAGCCACACTCCCATCCACTATAGAAATATACCCCAAATTTGTAGAAAAGTGGTTTCCTGTATTGTGTTATTTAACTTTTCACAATGTGGGTTCTAGAAAATTGGTTCATATGAACTTGCTTAATATCTGATTGCCCGGATGTTCATTTGGATATGTAGTCAAGTCTCACTTCTTAAATGTAACATAAATGAGAAGCATTTTTATAATTTAAAAAAAGTATGCCCTGCCCCCCCCCCCAAAAAAAAAAATTCAGTGCCCAGGCCAAACTTTAAATACCATAGTGAAGCACGGGTATCAGGCTAGTAAATAATATAAAAGTAGTACTGAGTATTTTCCCTAATAATACTTTGTTGTGAAAATAATTAATGAGAAAATTGCCTGTATTTATATTTTTCATTTATTTGCCACAACATGAAAGATTGAATTTATATACAGTCTGAAAAGTTTAAAAAGCTTTTCATTTTGTTTTGCAGTGTGCAGTGACCTGGAGTTCAGGGAAGTTGCAAACAGATTGCGAGATTGGTTCAAGGCACTTCATGAAAGTGGAATTCAGAAGAGGACTAGAATTGTACAAAGGCCTGAAAGAAGTAGTAAGTAATTATAACTTTTGATATCTCTTTTAGAAAATCTGAGTTAAATTTTCCGCATAACTTTTATGTTTCCAGTGGATAGCAAACTGAGTTTCTCATCCACTTGCTATAGAACCATTTAATATGCATTCAGAAGTTAATTTATTTATTGGGTTGCTCTGCAGGAAATGGAACTATGATTTTGTATGAGCATGTAAAAGTCTCTTCAAGCTTTTTCAAAAGATCATTTAGCATGGCATCAACCAGTGAGTGTTTGAGCAGGTTGTCAGTTTCATAGCTATTGTTCAACACTGAATGTAGCTTTAATATTCTGGAAGTGGTTTTGATACAACATGATAATTAGGTGCCCTATAAGGGTATGATAAGAAATAAAAGTGCTTTGTTGCAGTTGAGTTCAAGGTATACAGTCAGTGCCACCTAGCAGTCCATAAACATTAGTAAATTTTCTATAATAATGCAGGAATATATAGAAAATCTCTTTGTAGGTGTTTGTCATTTGACAGATCCACTCCAAATAAGAAAAATTACCTGCGAGTTTATATCATGTATGTTCTGATTTTTTTCCTATTGTTGCTACCAAAAAAAAGTTGCATCAAAAATCAATAGGTTATGTAATTACTGGTAGGCTTTGTTTAAAACAACAATTATTATGTGCAGTGATACATTCGTGAGTGGTTTCCCACTGAGGAGTCAAGGCAAATTAGATTTTGTTAGTGCTGAACTTGGACCCTTCATTAACACAACCAGCCACCTCTGTGAATTTCTCCTGTGATTGTTTAATACAACTTGCCCACTACTGACTCTTTACCTTGATACCTTCACTTTTTTTTTATTAGATGTTAAGAACTTCAGAAACTTTTGTTCAATTATGGCTCCTCAGTGCTGCAAATTTGCAGCACTCTTTTTACTTGAAAATGCTAATTTTCAGTGTGGTTATTTATTCTGAAGCAATAATAGTGTAAAGCCAATGTGAAATAAAGATGGACCTGTTTTTATACAGATTTGATTTTTTCTGATCTTTGGACTGGGGAAAAGAGAAAATGGCCCCGGTCACATGGAGCATTAGCCACGCTAGAGGGATGGAAGATAGGCGGAGTTTCCAGGCGTGATCTCACCGGCACATCTGGGAAGCGTCGGGCTTCCGTGGCGCAACTGAGGCTTCCCGCCAAAGACGCGCAGTAAAAAACTAGTACCTCAGAGGTACTAGTTTCCTGAAACCGCGGGGCAAGGGCGGGCGTCTGATTGCATTTCTGGAGATAGTTCCAGCGCCCGCCCATGTCCCTTCGGAAAAAGGGGGTTTTTTTCAAAGTCTCCACGGATGCACACACGCACCCAAGGGAGCATGCACACAATTGAGTTTTTTTAAAAAACAACCAACCCGTTTGCCCTGCACCCCGCTTCTTTGCCGCGCCGCAGGACTGTGGAGTGATCGGCACCTCCCCCCTACCACGGAACCTCGATAGGTAGGTCTGAGCAAGCAACCACGTGGGTTTTAGCCCCCGGGCTAACAGCCACGTTTCCCCCCCCCCCCGCACTGTCCGTGTGACCGGGACCTATGTAAGGGTACAAGGTAAAACAGCTGTGCTGCTTCTTGTATTTTCTTAAAAGTAGAGATTTATACTTCAATGGTGTCCTATTTCTTTGGAATCCAGCAATCATATAATTTAAACATCAGTTGCTGTCCTGAAAACTGAGGTCTGTGCACACAAGTCACATGTTCATGGCCTTATAGTCTTTTGTGAGGACCAGGGGAAAACATTTAGTAGTTGGTGGTAGCTCGGAAAATTTAAAAAATGAAACTGCATTTTCACAAATAGATGAACTTCTCATGGCTAAATGGCAAGAAAAGCTGATAACATTGCAAAAGTGTGCTCCTATTAACACGTCTCAGAATGCTGAATTGGGGGGAGGTGCATTTAGTGCAAAGTAAATATAGAACAAGCTGTTTAGTGAATTAGCGTTCCATCCAGTGATTGCAGTTTTCACACACATCCCCTTTTGTGGCTTAATATCACATATTGAAAACACATCCATGTGCTTGTACTTTCAAGATGCAGCTCAAAACCACATTCATATACTCTGGGCCAATGCCGTACTGACTGCAGAGTCACCCTTTAATGGCCATAAAATGGCCATTAATCTATGCAGACAGTAACATAAAGCTGAGAGATCAAAGGAAGTGAAACCGTGGTGTGGAGCAGTGTGGAGGCTATGAAAAAATCCGACAATCAAAGAAAGTGAAAGTGGCATGCAATGTAGAGGGGAATTTCTGTTCCAATGTGGGTATGGTAAAACAGAGGAGCAAATGCTAGATGCAGAATGGGCCATAGAGGACAATCCAGAGCACAGACAGCAAGGTCAGCAACTATCAGAAAGTAGTTTCCACACACCCAATCCTTTCTCTGCTGCTTTTAAGCACCATGCTGCTCAACAACCTGTATTGCGTCATGCAGGCTGCCTCACTCATGCTCCTGCAATCACTCATCCTCACTGTTGGTTCTGGGCTGGAGCTGTGCTTGTTAGCCAAATTCCCTTATTTCTTATTAAAAGTGGGGAATTATAAATATTAAATGGCAATAAGCATTAAATATGGGACCTAGAATCATAGAGTTGGAAGGGACCTCCAGGGTCATCTTGTCCAACCCCCTGCACAATGCAGGAAATTCACAAATACATCCCCCTCCACACCCACAGTGACAAAACGACAAAAAATGACAAAATGACAAAAAACCTCCAGGATTGCTTCCTGACCCCAAAGTGGCAATCATCATTTCCCTGGGTGTGTAAAAAAGGGCCATAATAACTAAGCACTGAGGCAACCCGTCCTGCCCTCCCTCTCATGATCTGCCTAAGTTCACAGAATCAGCATGGCTGTCAGATGGCCATCTAGCCTCTGTTTGAAAACCTCCAAAGAAGGAGAGCCCACCACTTCCCAAGGAAGCCTGTTCCACTGAGGAACCGCTCTAACTGACAGGAAGTTCTTCCTAATGTTTAGCCGAAAATTCTTCTGATTTAATTTCAACCCATTGGTTCTGGTCCGACTTTCTGGGGCAACAGAAAACAACTCCACACCACCCTCTCGATGACAGCCCTTCAAGTACTTGAAGATGGTTAACATATGACCTCTCAGTCATCTCCTCTCCAGGTTAAATATACCCAGCTCTTTCAACCTTTCCTCATAGGACTTGGTCTCCAAACCGCTCACCATCTTCATTGCTCTCCTCTGGACATGGTCCAGTTTGTCTATATCCTTCTTAAATTGTGGTGCCCAAAACTGAACACAATACTCTAGATGAGGTCTAACCAGAGCAGAGTAAAGTGGTACCATCACATCTCATGATCTGGACACTATACTTCTGTTGATACAGCCCAAAATCACATTTGCCTTTTTAGCAACCACATCACACTGCTGACTCATGTTCAGTGTACGGTCTACTAAGACCCCTAGATCCTTTTCGCACATACTACTGCCAAGACAAGTCTCCCCCAACCTATAATTATGCATTTGATTTTTCCTACCAAAATGCAGACTTTCACATTTATCCCCATTGAAATTCATTAAATTTCTTTTAGCCCAGTTTTCCAGCCTCTCAAGATCATCCTGTATCCTGACTCTTTCCTCTATCGTATTTGCTACCCCTCCCAATATAGTATCAGCTGCAAATTTAATAAGCATTCCCTCTATCCCTTCATCCAAATCATTGATAAAGATGTTGAACAAAACAGGTCCCAGGACAGATCCTTGAGGCACTCCACTTGTCACTCCTCTCCAAGAAGATGAGGAACCATTCACAAGCACTCTTTGGGTGCAATCCGTTAACCAGTTACAGATCCACCTAACAGTCATAGGATCCAAACGTCATTTTTCCAATTTGTCAACAAATATATTATGTGGAACCTTATCAAAGTCTTACTAAAATCAAGATAAACTATGTCTACAGCATTCCCCTGATCCAGCAAGGTATTAACTTTCTCAAAAGAAAGAGATAAGCCTGCTTTGCGGGGAGGGCGGGGTATAAATCTGACAAATAAATAAATAAATAAATGGTTTCCTATAAGGTTATATAAAAGGGCCGCGGTGGCTCAAGTGGTTAAGACGCTGAACTGAACGGTAGTTCAGCAATTCAAGACCCGAGTGTTGCATGACGGAGTCAGCTCCCATCTCTGGTCCCAGCTCCTGCCAACCTAGCAGTTCGAAAGCAAGAAATTGCAAGTAGATAAATAGGTACCACTTTGGTGGGAAGGTAACAGTGTTCTGTGTGCCTCGGCATCTAGTCATGCCGGTTTCAGCTATGCTGCCATGGGGGTTGGGGAGTTCATTCGGTGTCTTGTTAATTGCTATTGCATTCCTATCCCTGCTGTTATGCCTTTGCTGAAACTCTTAACTCGACAGATGTGCAGGAGGAGGTTGTGTTGTCTGAAGGGCTCCTGTGTACCGTGAGAGACTCCGGGATCTCAGCTTTAGCCACCTAATGGTTGCCTGACTTATCCCGTGTGCAGGAGGGTGCCTAATTGGCCAATGCCATGAGGGGGTGCATATGAATACCCTATATCCTATTATGCTCTACTGGCTGTAGCAATTCTTAACAGTGCCTGTGTTACTGCATCTATAGCTTTGCAATAAAAGTATAACCATTCCTGAATGTGTGTACTTCGTTGTTAGCTGTGGGTTCTGACAGCTGGCCACATGACCACGGAAATGTCTTCAGACAGCGCTGACTCTTTGGCTTGGAAACGGAGATGAGCACCGCATCCCTAGAGTCGGATTCAACTGGCTTTCGAGCATGGGAAACCTTTACCTTTACTATAAGGTTATATAAGATTACCTATAACCTATGTATATGGGAGTCTGCTTTTTCCAGAGCCCAGAAATGGACACTGAGGCTAGATGTACTAAAGCAATGATTTCTTTACTAAGAATTGTCACACATACGATATAAAATCAAGCATACACACAAGCAATACAGATCTAGGAATTCAGATAGAAAGATACAGAGTTG